AGCACAACATTGTAGGCAGCAGTAGATCCCACAGAATTGTGGCTTCTACAATTGTGACATTATTTACTTAACAGCCTTGGAGTTCTGTCTTGAAATGTTTATATGTTACTGTTAACAGTCATTTTTCTCTATGTAATTTTTTTTATTTATTTATTATGCACAGAAAAGAGTGATTATTTCCTTTAATCAAACATCTGTAAAGTGAACATATATGAACATTTATGAAATATTAAAAAATTAAATGACTGAGAAGAAATTAAAATTGTTTGAAATAAATGTTTTAAATATCACATTGGTAAAGCATCAAAATTACACAATAAAATCCAAAACTTACATCTTCCAACGGCTGCAAAAAAAAGGAAAGATAAAATTAGATTTAACACAATTTACACTTGATCAAACTAAACCAATGCCAAATTCAGCTGTAAGCAATTTGGGGCCAAGCACAGAAGACACAACAAATACAGAAAGTACAGTACATACAGCATACACAACAAGCAGAAGAAATGACAAGTAATCAATAGTCACCAAGATCATGATTTTCTGACAAACATTTCAAAAGTTATGACCGTTATTTGGATCTCATGACCTGTAGGTGGCACTGTTCTCAAATTTGGCATGTACTCAGATCGTGGTGCTGATGAACTGTACCAAGTTTTGTTTAGGTAACATCTTTAAAATGGACAATAATATTTTTGAAAAAGATAAATGGTAAATCATTCAAATCAGTATAAATGATGGAATGTAATAACAGAGAATGTTTTCAAAAGTTATAAGTATTTTTGCAAAACAAACATAGATATAGCTCTGGAACGCTAGATGGTGCAATGCTCAAACGTGTCAGGTACCTTCATGTTTTCTATGAACCCTACCAAATTTTGTGCCGATATGTCCAGTTGTTTAAAAGACATTTTAAAGCGGTTCATCCAATCCCAGAAAAATCTGTATCCACAGATTCAGCATGACCCAAGGAATGCTGATAAAGCCACTGATCCAAATTATACTCAATATTGTTACGTTTGCGTCATCATAATTTTTGATGATGAATATCAAAATTCTGTTCAGTAATTTCTGTGCTCTGTCCAGTGATCATCTGTTCCAATTTTGGTAATAACTGTACAAATTTTGAAGGAGTAGCAAAAAACAGAATACTGTACTTTTCAAAATGCTGATTATTCAGTGGGTAAAGTCTTAATGTAAAATATGGATTGTGATCACCAAGAGGAGAGTAATCTGGTGAACTACTTTTCTTTTCCAAAAGTTATAACCATTTGAAAAGTTAATTTTTAACTGTGGAGTATGTAGTAGGGACCCCAACATTGGTCAGGTTACTAATCTGGACCACCTGTATCAGTGTACCATATTTTATCATTTTACTATGTATGGTTCATAGGACTGCCATGGAGAGGAAGAATAATAAGAAAACCAACACAATAGCGGCTACACACCTTCAGCACTTGGACCCTAAAAACAAAACAGCAGAAGGTAAAAAATAGATGAGGACAACACTGCCCTACAACTACAGCTGACACTGTAAACAAACAACTAAGTGTGTTTCCATCTGTTGCTACAACACTTAACCAGGATTTTCTCTGAATAAATATCTGTTTAAGCCATTAACTGTACTAATGATGACTATAAATTTGTTTGTTAAACAAATGTATCAAATAGGTATTAAACTTAGATCTAGATTTAGAGTTTAATACCTAAAATATAGAAAATCTTTCCTGCAAAAAATCAAATGTGGGTGATATTTTGCCATTATGAAAGAACGAACGCAGCCAGTTAGCAAGACACTGGGCAATTTCCAAACAAACTATCCAGTCATGAAGAAGTCATGCTTGTCACAAAGAAGAAGTTTGTAACGCACTTAGCAAAGTGAGCAGTCAAAGACAACGTCATTTGAATAGATGTTATCCCATAGGCCTAAATGCAACCATTAGTAGAATTCATACTGTTTGTGATACATGTACTTTTTGCAACATATAAGAAGATACTGAAAAATTAAATTTTCTATTTCATTTTGGATTGATTTTTATAATGGTCATGACTAAAAAATTAACAAAACTCTAAATGTAGACATTTTTCTTTATTTTCAAAACCCAGAAAAACAAAACGATGTTCTTTTGATTATTTAATTAGGGGTTTTTTTTATTCACAAGACTCGAATAACTCAGAAGAAACCTTAATAATTTGTAATAGCCTACAGATCTCACAGTATACTTTGAAACACTTTCAAACAAGACAACATAAATCAAGAAATTTATAAAAACAATAGAAACTCTAAAGCGTTTCAGATTTATGAAACTACCCACATTTTACACAGTACTTTGTATTTTCTTTAGTTAAAAAAAAAATGTATATTTTATTTATTTGTACGTATATGTGCATTTTATATTTTTGTTTATATTCCTTTGTTGCTCTTTAAGGCCCCAACGATGACCTCCGAACTCCCTTCTTCTGAGGATTTGGATTGAAGGCTCATCAGCATCTTAGTGCCACCTACTGGACACAGTACAACATGACCATATATCACAAATGTGCCTCACATTCAATTTTTAGGGTAGGCGATAAAAAAAGAAAAAAAATTCAAGGCAAATGTGTACTACTAAAGACATCAGACACGTGTTTCATGGCGAAAACTGATCCAAAACAAGGCCAATAAAATTACATTCTCAATTATATAAACTGGAAAACGTATGGAAACCTTTTTCATCTTATGCAATTGTATAAATTCTCTAGAAACAGAGTGCACATTTTTATCTGTAAAAAATAATCTAGGTATAATGTTGACTTTGCAAATAAAAAATTAACATATAGGCCTATAAAACACTTTCTATATTAGGCTTTTTGTAACGAGTCTCTTTAATACAGTTTCTTAAACTAATCAAAAATAGGAAGAATACTTCTATTGTTCAGTATGGCAACATTTTACATTAAGGTTCCATTAGCTAACATTGCACTGAGCAATGCATTTGTTACGGTATTTATTCATCCTTATTAATGTTATTTAATAAAAATACAACTCAATGTTAGTTGATGGTCCATTAAATAATATTAATATATACAAAATGTATCAGTAAATGTTGAAATTAACATTTTAATGAACTTTTTCAGATGAATTAATGCAGTAGTATTTTTCATTTTCATAACAAGTTGGCACATAAATAGAAATGTAATGTTTGTGTCATTTTAGACAAGGTCCTAAAAGCAAGACATGAACACCTGGACAAAATTATTACTAGGATTGACCACTAATGTTTTTCACCCTGTGTGTTGACATGTTTTGTGTTAAAGAAAATAGTGAGGGGAAAATGTGAACATCTTAAATTGCTGGTCTTTTAAAACTAGACACAATTAGATCCAACCGTTTCAACATCCTTCCAAGACGATGAGCTCTTATACCCGCGCGTCGGCTTCTAGCGTCACATCTTTGTCAGTGAACAAAATGGCAACCTACTGCTTAACCGTTGCCCGGCTTCAGGTACATGAATATCTACATTTTATATCGTCACCACGTATGGTTTGCATTTGCTAATTCGTGTATGAATGCCATTCAGAGCTGTGCTTGAGAGTTTGAGGTGCACAGATGAGTGAACTGACCGTGTCCGTGCTGGAATCTGCTCGCGAAGTGTTCACAGGTCATTGCGGCCAAGGATGTCATAGCAGACGCGAGGATGGCGTATAATCTTTATTTCCAGCTGTTTGATACAGGACAGCCAAAGCACGAAAGCAGAAATACTTATAACTGTATTATCGATTCACCTATTGTGGATTTTTCATGGACTGGCTATTAGGTTTTAGTCGCAAGGTGAACACAAGGTTAACGGCGCTGCCGATGTAACGTTAGATTGAACGACAGCGTTACTAACACGACAACGATATAGCTACAAAACCAAATGTTAATATGTGATCTGTAACGTTATCGCATATGTATACGTATTTCAGAATTCTCGGAGCTTCACACCTGAGGTTCGCTCATGCTGAGCAAGTGAGCAGCTGTGATTTCACAATATGAATTACACCTGTTGTTTTTAATATGAGCCTACAAAACATAGGCTACACTACCGGTCAGAAGTTTGGGATCAGTTTTAAAGAAGTCTCTTATGCTCATCAAGGCTGCATTTATTTGATCAAAAATACAGGAAAAAATGTAATATTGTGAAATATTATTATGATGTAAAATAGCGTTTTTCTATTTTAATATACATTAAAATCTAATTTATTTCTGTGATGCAAAGCTGAATTTTCAGCATCATTACTCCAGTCTTCAGTGTCACATGATCCTTCAGAAATCATTCTAACATGCTGATTTATTATCAGTGCTGGAAACTGTTGTGCTGCTTAATATTTTTTTGGAACCGCTGATACTTTTTTTTCAGGATTCTTTGATGAATCAATTTTTTTAAAGCAGAGCATTTATTTAAAATAGAAATCTTTTCTAACAATATACACTACAGTTCAAAAGTTTGGGGTCAGTACATTTTTATTCTTTCTTTTTTTGAAAGAAATTAAAACTTTTATTCGGCAAGGATGCGTTGCATTTTTAAGAACTGAAAGCAAAAAAGCATATTGTTAGAAAAGATTTATATTTTGAATAAATGCTGTTCTTTTTAACTTTTTATTCATCAAAGAATCCTGAAAAAAGTATCGCAGTTTCCAAAAAAATATTTGCCAGCACAACTGTTGCCAACATTGATCATTCTAATAATAAATCAGCATATTAGAATGACTTCTGAAGGATCATGTGGCACTTTACACTGGAGTTATGGCTGATAGAAACTCAGCTTTGCATCACAGAAATAAATTATATTTCAAAGGATATTAAAATAGAAACCATTATTTTATATCCTATATTTAGATTACGTTTTTTTCTGTATTTGTGATCAAATAAATGCAGCCTTGATGAGCATAAGAGACTTCTTTAAAACTGATCCCAAACTTCTGACCGGTAGTGTAGCCTATGTTTTGTAGGCTCATATTAAAAACAACAGGTGTAATTCATATTGTGAAATCACAGCTGCTCACTTGCTCAGCATGAGCGAACCTCAGGTGTGAAGCTCCGAGAATTCTGAAATACGTATACATATGCGATAACGTTACAGATCACATATTAACATTTGGTTTTGTAGCTATATCGTTGTCGTGTTAGTAACGCTGTCGTTCAATCTAACGTTACATCGGCAGCGCCGTTAACCTTGTGTTCACCTTGCGACTAAAACCTAATAGCCAGTCCATGAAAAATCCACAATAGGTGAATCGATAATACAGTTATAAGTATTTCTGCTTTCGTGCTTTGGCTGTCCTGTATCAAACAGCTGGAAATAAAGATTATACGCCATCCTCGCGTCTGCTATGACATCCTTGGCCGCAATGACCTGTGAACACTTCGCGAGCAGATTCCAGCACGGACACGGTCAGTTCACTCATCTGTGCACCTCAAACTCTCAAGCACAGCTCTGAATGGCATTCATACACGAATTAGCAAATGCAAACCATACGTGGTGACGATATAAAATGTAGATATTCATGTACCTGAAGCCGGGCAACGGTTAAGCAGTAGGTTGCCATTTTGTTCACTGACAAAGATGTGACGCTAGAAGCCGACGCGCGGGTATAAGAGCTCATCGTCTTGGAAGGATGTTGAAACGGTTGGATCTAATTGTGTCTAGTTTTAAAAGACCAGCAATTTAAGATGTTCACATTTTCCCCTCACTATTTTCTTTAACACAAAACATGTCAACACACAGGGTGAAAAACATTAGTGGTCAATCCTAGTAATAATTTTGTCCAGGTGTTCATGTCTTGCTTTTAGGACCTTGTCTAAAATGACACAAACATTACATTTCTATTTATGTGCCAACTTGTTATGAAAATGAAAAATACTACTGCATTAATTCATCTGAAAAAGTTCATTAAAATGTTAATTTCAACATTTACTGATACATTTTGTATATATTAATATTATTTAATGGACCATCAACTAACATTGAGTTGTATTTTTATTAAATAACATTAATAAGGATGAATAAATACCGTAACAAATGCATTGCTCAGTGCAATGTTAGCTAATGGAACCTTAATGTAAAATGTTGCCATACTGAACAATAGAAGTATTCTTCCTATTTTTGATTAGTTTAAGAAACTGTATTAAAGAGACTCGTTACAAAAAGCCTAATATAGAAAGTGTTTTATAGGCCTATATGTTAATTTTTTATTTGCAAAGTCAACATTATACCTAGATTATTTTTTACAGATAAAAATGTGCACTCTGTTTCTAGAGAATTTATACAATTGCATAAGATGAAAAAGGTTTCCATACGTTTTCCAGTTTATATAATTGAGAATGTAATTTTATTGGCCTTGTTTGGATCAGTTTTCGCCATGAAACACGTGTCTGATGTCTTTAGTAGTACACATTTGCCTTGAATTGTTTTTCTTTTTTTATCGCCTACCCTAAAAATTGAATGTGAGGCACATTTGTGATATATGGTCATGTTGTACTGTGTCCAGTAGGTGGCACTAAGATGCTGATGAGCCTTCAATCCAAATCCTCAGAAGAAGGGAGTTCGGAGGTCATCGTTGGGGCCTTAAAGAGCAACAAAGGAATATAAACAAAAATATAAAATGCACATATACGTACAAATAAATAAAATATACATTTTTTTTTTAACTAAAGAAAATACAAAGTACTGTGTAAAATGTGGGTAGTTTCATAAATCTGAAACGCTTTAGAGTTTCTATTGTTTTTATAAATTTCTTGATTTATGTTGTCTTGTTTGAAAGTGTTTCAAAGTATACTGTGAGATCTGTAGGCTATTACAAATTATTAAGGTTTCTTCTGAGTTATTCGAGTCTTGTGAATAAAAAAACCCCCTAATTAAATAATCAAAAGAACATCGTTTTGTTTTTCTGGGTTTTGAAAATAAAGAAAAATGTCTACATTTAGAGTTTTGTTAATTTTTTAGTCATGACCATTATAAAAATCAATCCAAAATGAAATAGAAAATTTAATTTTTCAGTATCTTCTTATATGTTGCAAAAAGTACATGTATCACAAACAGTATGAATTCTACTAATGGTTGCATTTAGGCCTATGGGATAACATCTATTCAAATGACGTTGTCTTTGACTGCTCACTTTGCTAAGTGCGTTACAAACTTCTTCTTTGTGACGAGCATGACTTCTTCATGACTGGATAGTTTGTTTGGAAATTGCCCAGTGTCTTGCTAACTGGCTGCGTTCGTTCTTTCATAATGGCAAAATATCACCCACATTTGATTTTTTGCAGGAAAGATTTTCTATATTTTAGGTATTAAACTCTAAATCTAGATCTAAGTTTAATACCTATTTGATACATTTGTTTAACAAACAAATTTATAGTCATCATTAGTACAGTTAATGGCTTAAACAGATATTTATTCAGAGAAAATCCTGGTTAAGTGTTGTAGCAACAGATGGAAACACACTTAGTTGTTTGTTTACAGTGTCAGCTGTAGTTGTAGGGCAGTGTTGTCCTCATCTATTTTTTACCTTCTGCTGTTTTGTTTTTAGGGTCCAAGTGCTGAAGGTGTGTAGCCGCTATTGTGTTGGTTTTCTTATTATTCTTCCTCTCCATGGCAGTCCTATGAACCATACATAGTAAAATGATAAAATATGGTACACTGATACAGGTGGTCCAGATTAGTAACCTGACCAATGTTGGGGTCCCTACTACATACTCCACAGTTAAAAATTAACTTTTCAAATGGTTATAACTTTTGGAAAAGAAAAGTAGTTCACCAGATTACTCTCCTCTTGGTGATCACAATCCATATTTTACATTAAGACTTTACCCAATGAATAATCAGCATTTTGAAAAGTACAGTATTCTGTTTTTTGCTACTCCTTCAAAATTTGTACAGTTATTACCAAAATTGGAACAGATGATCACTGGACAGAGCACAGAAATTACTGAACAGAATTTTGATATTCATCATCAAAAATTATGATGACGCAAACATAACAATATTGAGTATAATTTGGATCAGTGGCTTTATCAGCATTCCTTGGGTCATGCTGAATCTGTGGATACAGATTTTTCTGGGATTGGATGAACCGCCTTAAAATGTCTTTTAAACAACTGGACATATCAAATACAAAATTTGGTAGGATTCATAGAAAACATGAAGGTACCTGACACGTTTGAGCATTGCACCATCTAGCGTTCCAGAGCTATATCTATGTTTGTTTTGCAAAAATACTTATAACTTTTGAAAACATTCTCTGTTATTACATTCCATCATTTATACTGATTTGAATGATTTACCATTTATCTTTTTCAAAAATATTATTGTCCATTTTAAAGATGTTACCTAAACAAAACTTGGTACAGTTCATCAGCACCACGATCTGAGTACATGCCAAATTTGAGAACAGTGCCACCTACAGGTCATGAGATCCAAATAACGGTCATAACTTTTGAAATGTTTGTCAGAAAATCATGATCTTGGTGACTATTGATTACTTGTCATTTCTTCTGCTTGTTGTGTATGCTGTATGTACTGTACTTTCTGTATTTGTTGTGTCTTCTGTGCTTGGCCCCAAATTGCTTACAGCTGAATTTGGCATTGGTTTAGTTTGATCAAGTGTAAATTGTGTTAAATCTAATTTTATCTTTCCTTTTTTTTGCAGCCGTTGGAAGATGTAAGTTTTGGATTTTATTGTGTAATTTTGATGCTTTACCAATGTTATATTTAAAACATTTATTTCAAACAATTTTAATTTCTTCTCAGTCATTTAATTTTTTAATATTTCATAAATGTTCATATATGTTCACTTTACAGATGTTTGATTAAAGGAAATAATCACTCTTTTCTGTGCATAATAAATAAATAAAAAAAATTACATAGAGAAAAATGACTGTTAACAGTAACATATAAACATTTCAAGACAGAACTCCAAGGCTGTTAAGTAAATAATGTCACAATTGTAGAAGCCACAATTCTGTGGGATCTACTGCTGCCTACAATGTTGTGCTCTTTAATGCATTTACATAACATTTATGTATTTAGCAGACACTCATATCCAAAGTGACTTACAAAAGAGGAATAAAAGCAAGTCATCAATAAGCCAACAATATTCATTGTGCAAAATGCCAGGTTTATTAGATAACTAGATGGAAGGAATGAAGCAAGCTAGAAAAGAGAGAGAGTGTGAGTGTGTGTGTGTGTGTGTGTGTGTGTGTGCATTGGTTTAAGAGTGTGGGGTGGTTAGCAGTTGGTCGTTCAACATTAACTTCACGTTAGCGGTCTTTGTGGACCCCAGTTTCACAGAGATGTTGTGGTCAACTGATGGTTAGGCAGGGATTACCAGGAGCTCCATCTTTGCAGTGATGGTGCATGTGGCATTCAAAGGAAGTGTAATTGCAGAGAGAAGAGAGAGAAGTGAATTTCCAGGTGTTGAAAATAAATAGACCTGTCCCCCCCCACCCCAAGTTGGACAAGGGCGCTGTGTGATTTGTGGAGGTCCTGGAGTATCTGATGCCTACTACTGCAAAGAGTGCACCATCCAGGAGAAAGACGTGAGTAAACCTGCTCTACATTTGGCTCTGCTTAAGTATTATATTTTTTTGACTGGCTAATGCTAAATCTATATTGTCCAGTATCGGGATTTGTAATCCCTTTCTTCAGTCCTTGGACAGCTGTTTAATCTCATACTGAATAAAATGTCAAACTATCTGTTTCATTGATACACAGAGGGATGGCTGCCCCAAGATCGTAAACCTCGGCATCTCAAAGACTGACCTTTTCTATGAGAGAAAATTATACGGCTTCAAGAAGAGGCGAAGAAACAGAGGGACTTTGTTTGTTGCAAGAGTTTCTACTTTTTTCTCAGACTTGATACAATAAAAGGTGCTCCCTCTTGGTGTTCATCTCTTGCTTTTAGGACCCTAAAATTACAAACATTTCTAACAATATCTAACAATAGTGAACCATTTATGTGCCAACTTGCTTGCTTATTGGATATATTTATATATATTTATTTAACATAACCATAGAAGCTATAACAGGCAACAGTAGGCTAACATACAAACAGCATCTTCATACAATGTACAACCATTACAGTATAGAAACATTTATTAAAATAAATTAAAAATATATAACTCCAAACATAGATTCATAATATATTAAACAACACGGTTACACTTTATTTATGTCCTTGTTATAGTGTAATTATACATTTAAGTACTGAGTAATATACTTACTATATGGTTAGGATTAGGGTTACTTGCATGTACAGTAATTATGCATAATTAATTGTTATTATAATAGTAAGTACATGTAACATGTGTAACAAGGACACCTAAAAATAAGGTTTTACCAACAACACTTAACAGCAAGGTACCATTTGTTAACAATAGTTAACTACATTAGTTAACATGAACTAACAATGAAAAATACTTCTAAAGCATTTAATTATCTTAGTTAATGTTAATTTCCATGAGAATAGACCATGAATAAACATTGAACAGATGTATTTATTAACTAATAGCCTATTAAAGATTAATAAATACTGCAACAGTCCGCATTGTAATGTTAGTTCATGTTAATAAATGGAGTGTTACCAAATTGTACAACTGAAGTACTTTTCATATTCTTGATTAATTTAAGAGACTGTAGCTATTAAAGAGACAAGCTTGTTACAAAAAGTCTGTAAAATATATTATACACGTTAATTTTAATTTAAAAAGTTTGCATTATACTTAGATTATTTTTACGGACAAAAATGTGCACTCTGTCCAGGGATATCATACAATTTTAAACATATAAGATTTAAAGGTTTCCAGACCTTTTACAGTTTATAATTGAGAATGGAATTTCAATAAATCAAGTTTTCGCCATGAAACACAATCCGTGTATCATTCGATCATTAGTTTTTTTATTTAATATTGAAAGTAGAAAAATTTGAAAACTGATTTTTCATTTTTTCATTTTTTTCCAAAAAACGAAAAACGAGAATTCAGCTTAAATTTTCGTTTTTCGTTCATGGGTGGAAAAATGAATAAACAGTTTGAATATTTGATTTCTACATGTGGGCGGGAATTAAACGACCCTTTCTGCTGATTGGTCAGCCGAAGATCAAACCGTGCCGTCATCAGTTCTTCTGCAGTATCACGCAGCAGAATAATAGTCCTCCACTGCTGCAGTTGTACAGATTAATAACCCATTTAATCAATTTCATATTTTTATCATCAAACAGACTAATGAATAGCTCGTCTAATGACAGAGTATTAAGTTCCCTCGATGGGGGAAAAATCCAAGTGAACATCAATCAGTACTCGATATTAATTTAAACTGCTTTAAATATGACTGCTGCTTATTTCCTGTGCACTTCAATACTGGTCTGCGCTTGACTGTAGTCGC